TGCAATGACTTTGCATTCTGAATTACTTTTTGGAAAATGGTATAGGAGTTTATTAAGCTAAAATGCTTTAAATGTTATATCTTCAAAAGTGTGTTATTGAAATATGATTGGCCAGGAAAACACTGCGCACACTTAGTCTGTCCAACTCTGTGAGACTGAGCATCAGTGCACACGATCAGCAATGACCTAAATGCAGCTTCCCAGAGCTCCCGGCATCCTCGCTCTCAGCATCAGCATCCTCACTGTCGCTGTCACCATCATTATTGTCATTGTTATTGTTACTGTGGGAAGAATGCTGTAAAAAATCTACTGTTTTGTAAATTTCAGGTATATGATACAGATTTGTTTTATACAGGACTAGCCTGTATAGTACATGTGCCGGCCTGTTTCTCTTGATGTTTCCTTAGGAGGATATGTTCTGCAAAATGTAGGTGAGCTTTATGCATGGCTTTGCGTCTTCACAGAATTTAACTAGCTTTTAAATTCACCTTCCTTCTCATCTTTCATAATTTAATCATTATAATGCAATTTTCTTATGATGCTTTGTTTCTACTCTCCATTAAAGAGTAAGGACTTCTCAAATTACATTTTTGTGGGATTAGAAGTTTGCAAACAACAAGGGCTTTTAGTAGGGAGTGGCATTACAGGGGCTTTTATCTTATTTTATTTTTTGAGATTTATTTTATTTTTTTGAGATTTAGATGTAACAGTTTTATTTTTTTAAGGAGAATACAAAATAGTAAAACAATAGAAATGGTGCAGAATTTCACTAAACAAAATAATAGGAATTTGACAGTGGTTGTTGTATAGTGTTATCTTCAAATTAGTGTTTCTGCTGGTCTATTGAAGGGAACATTTTTTAATCTCCTTTTTAATTTTTTTTTGTATTCCAATTTCTTATAATATGTTCTCACAAGCAATGACATGTATGCCCAACACACAAATCTGAAAGAATCTACCAAATGTAATAACTTAGGGGCACATAAAAACTTCCCGCTTATAAAAATTCACAAGTAGATGTTCAATTTACGAATTTCTAGGTCCTTTTGGGTCCCTCCTGCCTGAGAGCTGAGACCCAGTAGAACTTGGTTTATTCAGAACCTTAGGGGGCCAGGGACATAGCTCAGTAGAATAAGTGCTTGCCTGGCAAGCACAGGGTCCTGAGTTCAATCCCCGGTACTGCAAAAACAAACAAATAAACAAACAAACAAACAAACAAAAACAACTAAAAAAACCCCTCCGAACCTTAGGGCTAGGAGGTTAAGGGGAAAAGAGACAATGCCAGTGACACTGCCTGGCTTGGTCTCTCCCACTGGCCTTCTTCCATGACCCAGGCATGGGTCCACTGTGCACCCATGGCATCCTGAGCACTGTGCCCCAGTGACAAGGAAGTGGACATTCTTCTTGGACTGCAGCCTCTGCGCTGCCACTCCACACCCACCACGGCTGCCAAGCACTGAGTGTCATACTTGGTATGCAGAACAGTGCAGGGCCACATAGCCTCTTCCCCTCTGCTGGTGGCCCGCAGCATGTTGCAGAGGTCACTGCAGAAGTGGGTTTATGTGGGAGGCTCGTAGAACATCAAGTTCCTGATGCCTTTGATTGTATAACTTTTGTAGAAATGGAATTACTCTGTGAGGAGCAGAAACTGCTTCTCTCCTTGCAGGAAGAAGTGTCTGGCCCTGGAGACAGCTGGCTTCTGGGTGTACTCACAGATGTGTGAGAAGTTCAGTTCCTCCTTCTTGAAGTAATTTTGCAGATGCACGTAGTCAGTGTAGGAGGGGACCCAGATGAGAGTGTGGGGCATGACTGCATCATGGTACTGGGGAAAAATCTTGTTTATAAGAAAGTTCAACCTGGCATCAATCACTGCAGCAAGACTCTTGGTGCCATCCTGTGGAAGACACGTGGGAGCTGTGCCAGTGTGTGACTGATGGAGCCTGTCCTGGGGACATTCTGCAAGGCCACCTGACCCTGTAGGTTCACGCAGCACTTGTTGAACACTGTGTTGATCTGGGTATTCTGCAGGGACCAAAACAGCAGTGTCTGGTGATAGTACCTGGTCCAATTATTAAGGCTCCACATCTGCACTCAAGAGAAGTTGACTGCATGGAGTAAAGGGGCAGCAGGTTCATGTGGTTCATTGAATGCAGGACATACTCCCAGTTTGATGTCATCAAGTAGGTGTCAGCTTGATCAATGATGACAAGCTCAGTAGTAGACAGAAAGTCAAAATCTCTCTTCTCTCCTTCTCTGCTGATGATGGTCCTCAAGTCCAGAGGGGATGCAATGAGGATGTCCAAGGAGTAGAACAGGGCATAGAGCCAGATGCTCCTCTGAAGAATCGCCACCCCAATCCTGAAGTGGTCATTGGTGTTACCCACAAACACAGCTTCTTGATGCTAGGGCTTTTCAGGTTGGGTGGTCTCTCCCCAGGATCTGACCCATACTCTCTTTGAAATCTCTTTTTGTTGCTCACAATGATTTTCTTCTTGCTGTCGCCCTCAGGGAGACTGATGAAGAGCTGCACCACCTGCAGAGGAGCTTCCTGGAGTAGTACCACTCTCAGCACCTTGGGCCTCGTCAGCCTCTGGTCTCTGAAGCCATCATCATCACACAGCCCGGCCTTCTGGCCTTGGCGCTTGCTGTTGTCTCTGAGCACCCAAGCATTGGCTTTGAGCACATGGTTGAGTGTGTGTAGGCAGTACACAGGGCAAACCTCTGCTCCATTCTTCAGGGCAGTTCTTTCTGGGAAGAACAGGTCCTGCCAGGAATTCATAACCGAGAAGAGCTCTTTCTGGAGTGGTGTGAAAGAGTTATTTGATTTTGGGAGAACAGATAAGAAGTGGCTGTTGGTCTTGTTCCAGGTAGATTGCAGTGGCTTATGGAGATAAAGAGACTTCAAGTCAAAATCCTTGGGAGGTTTAAATGTTTCCATTTTAGTTGATGGATGTTTTTGGGGTTTGCTGGAAGTGCTGAATCTCCTTTTCTTTCAGTTCTTTGTTCACATGTTGTACAAATAGATCTTGTGACACCTCCAGAGAGGAGCTGTCTCCACTTTCCTCCTCAAGAAAATTGGTCTCCAGGCTGAAGAGTGCCTCATGCTTGTGTCTGTGAACTCGGCTGGAGACTGTTGCGATGTGCAGGGGGCTGCTCTTCACCATTTCCCTCAGGGTCACCAGATAAGGCCACATCCTCCTGCAACTCCGCTGACCCTGTGGGTTTCTCTTCCTCCACAATGACGTCACTACTGACATGGTCGTCATCCATTTCTGTGTCACCCACACTGTCTTCTTGCCTCTCCTCTTCTTCCTCTTCCTCTTTTTCTCCAGAAGATTTCTTAATGAAACAA